CTCACCAGTGGCTCCTCAGCGAATGCACTTTTCTGGTCAGCTTGTACGCCACACCTCACCTCCCTCACACTGTTCCTTCCTCCAGGAAGCCCTCCCTCATGCCCCTGACCGGGTCTACCTGATGACATGCTCCCATAACCCATGTCACCATCATTCCTGATCCTTCTCAAAGGTATCATTTCGTATTCACTTTGGTGGTCCTTTGACCATGTCAGCCACCCCCCGCTAGACTGTGGCCCCTCCCCAGCTCAAGAGCCCTGACTCTACAGAGGGTACAGTTCCTCAAACCGCCCAGGCCAACTTGTGCTCAGAGTCTTAGCATTGGCCAGTCCCTCTACTTGGAATGCTCTTCCCCAGTAACCCTCACCTTTGTCATGTTTTGGCTGGAATGCAATTTTTTCCGAGAGGCCAACCTGGTCATGCTGTTCAGAATGGAAGACCTTCTTCCCCCAAACACTCTGCTCCCTCTCTGGGCCTCCACTTCCCATAAGACCCACCTCCTCCTAGCACACCGTGTGACAGACCTGGTTACGCCATTGCCTCTATCTACCAGGGTGGAAGCCCTGGGGAGCAGGGACTCCTCACTTGGCTGTCCTTGCCCTCATCATACTTTGAATGAACGAGTTACTGAGCACCGAGGTCTCGAGCTCTGGCCTTCCTGCAACTTCACACCTAACGAGTTGGGTGAGGAGTGGTGGTGGAAGGGAGAGATTTCCGACATGATTATTTTAGTTTTTTGAGTCGGAGTCTCACTCTGTCACCCAGGCTGGAGGGCAGTGGCACACTCCCGGCCACCGCAGCCTCGACCTGTTGGGCTCCAGCGATCCTTCGCCCTCAGCCTTCCAAGTAGCCGGAACTACAGGCGCATTACCACGCCCGGCTAATTTTTGATTAATCATAGAGACGAGGTCTCACCAAGTTGCTCGGGTGGGTCTCAAACCTGTGGGCTCAGGAAATCCTCTCGCCTCGGCCTCCCAAAGTGCTGGGATTATAGGCTGAGCCACCGACCCTGGCCCCAACATAATTATTTTATTTTATTTTTTTGAGTTGGAGTCTCACTGTGTCCAGACTGGAGTGCAGTGGCCGCTCCCAGTCACCACAGCCTCGACCTGCTGGGCTCCGGCGATCCTCCCGCCCCAGCCTTCCGAGTAGCTGGAACTACAGGCGCGCGCTACCACGCCCAGCTCATTTTGATTTATTGTAGAGATGAGGTCTCGCCAAGTTGCCCAGGCGGGTCTCGAACCCGCGGGCTCAGGCAATTCACTCACCTCAGCCTCCCAAAGACGTGGGATTACAGGCTGAGTCACCGAGCCCAGCTTATTTTATTTTAAAGATTGCAGAAGGCCGGGCACAGTGGCTCACGCCTATAATCCCAGCACTTTGGAAATCAGAGGAGAGCAAAGGGCAGGAAAGCCAACAGCTGATGCTGTTTTTCTGACAGAGAGAGCTGTCACACAAGGAAATATGAGACTCTGGGCAGGGGGCTGGACTTGTTTCTCTCATGACAGCACTGTGCTCACAGTGACTTAGAGGCAGCCTAGCTTTCTTTCGTTCACACATTTTTATTTCAGAGACAGGGTCTCACTCTGTCACCCAGTCTGGAGTGCAGTTGTGAATCATGACTCACTGCAGCCTCGAACTCTTGGGCTCAAGGGACCCTTCCACCTCAGCCTCCCAAGAAGCCAGGACTACAGGTGCATGTCACCACACCTGGCTAATTTTTTTTTTTTGTAGCGGTAGGGTCTCACTATGTTGCCCAGGCTGGTCTCCAACTCCTGGCTTCAAGCGATCCTCCCACCTCAGCCTCCTAAAGTTTTGGGATTACAGGTGTGAGCCACCACAACCCAGCTTTTAACACCTATTTATTGATCATATGCTAAGGGCCGGACCCTGTGTGAGATTCATACAGCCGCAAATGAAACAGAAAGGGCTCCTGCCCCCATGAGGCTGACACACTAGTGGGGAAGACAGATGTTATATAAATAAATACATGTGTGCATCATATGAGTTGTGCTAAATGCCGTGGCCAAAACGGGGCCTGGTCAGAGACTAGGCATGGGTGCAGAGGAGACCGAGCTGATCCTGGAGGAAGAGAAAAGTCACCATGTGAGAAGGGGTAAGACCATGCTAAGTGGTGGTAACAACACGTGCAAAGGACCCAGGAGGAAGAAGAGGTGCTCTGGGCCATCAGGGCTGTGCACGTAACCAAGAGGCGGAGACAGGCGGCTCGGTGGCTCAGCCTGTAATCCCGCGCCTTTGGGAGGCTGAGATGAGTGAATTGCCTGAGCCTGTGGGTTCGAGACCCGCCTGGGCAACTTGGCGAGACCTCATCTCTACAATAAATTAAAATGAGCTGGGCGTGGTAGCACGCGCCTGTAGTTCCAGCTACTTGGAAGGCTGAGGCGGAAGGATCGCCAGAGCCCAGCAGATCGAGGCTGCGGTGGCCGGGAGCGGCCACTGCACTCCAGTCTGGGTGACAGAGTGAGACTCCAACTCTTAAAAAAAAAAAAAAAAAAGAGGCAGAAACGGGTGAAGATGGGTGGGGTCAGCTTCTGCAGGTTGGGAGTAGAATTTGGATTTTATGGCAACCACTGGAGGGTGTAAACAAGGGCCAGGCATGACACGATAGACGTTTCAGGAAGGTCAATTTGCTACTGTATGGAGAGTGGACTGGAGGGGACAGGACGGAGGTGGCCCAAGCCACCGGCTGTGTGGACGAAGGGGAGGACAAAGTTGCCATGTATTTGGGAGGCAGAAGACCAGGATCTGCTGAAGGATTGTCCTGAGGTGAGGGAGAGGGTAGTGTCAACGGATGACTCCCAGGTTACCAGCTAAATGCCTTGGAAGAGGCCATACTATTTACACTGATTGCTCTGCGAGGGGAAAGGGAAGGACCATCTCCTTCCCCAGGCCTCGAGGGAAGGAACAAATGTTGCTGATGGAGAAGAAGAGGAAAAAAAGTGTACGCATGTATCAAAATATCACATGCACCACTAAATAGGTACAAGTATTATGTAGCCATAAAAAACATTATTTTTTTGAGTGGAAGCCTCACTTTGTCAGCCAGGCTGGAGTGCAGTGGCATGATCACAGCCACTGCAGCCTCGACCTGCTGGACTCAGACGATCCTTCCACCTCAGTCTTCCAAGTAGCCAGAACTACAGGCAGGCACCATCACACCTGGGTAATTATTTATTTTTTAGTTGGAGTCTCACTCTGTCACCCAGGCTGGAGGGCCACACTCACGGCCACCTCAGTGTCGACCCACTGGGCTCTGGCAATCCTTCCACTTCAGCCTTCCAAGTGGCCAGAACCACAGGTGTGTGCTACCATGTCTGGCTAATTTTTTATTTATTGTAGAGACCTGGGATTTTTGCAGAAAAACAGAGACTGTGACACCGAGGCTATTTTTTTTTGAGTTGGTGTCTCACTTTGTCACCCAGACTGGAGTACAGTGGCCGCTCCCAGCCACTGCAGCCTCGACCTGCTGGGCTCTGGCAATCCTTCCGCCTCAGCCTTCCGAGTAGCTGGAACTACAGGCGTGCGCTACCACGCCTGGCTAATTTTTGATTTATTGTAGAGATGAGGTCTCGCCAAGTTGCCCAGGCTGGTCTCGAACCCCTGAGATCAGGCAATCCTCTCGCCTTGGCGTCCCAAAGTGCTGGGATTACAGGCTTGAGCCACTGTGCCCAGCTCATAAAAACTTTTTTGAGGTTGGAGGACAAGGGGCTCAGGGACAAATATGTCTGCACTACTGACAGGACCAGAGAGAGGGCCACTGCACGGGCGGGCCCTATAGGAGCCCAGGGATGCCCTGGGCCCTTCACAGAGGGACAAAACCTTGGTACTTCTGAGATCTAGGGGCCAGAAAGCCCCTCCCACTTTCCCCACGTGGGTGTCTGACCCCGGGCAAGACTGGGGTTATTAAAAATGAACACAACCGGCTGCCTTCAGTGGCTCAAGCCTATAATCCCAGCACTTTGGGAGGCCAAGGTGAGAGAACTGCCTGAGCCCACGGGTTCAAGACCAGCCCAGGCAACTCAGTGAGACCTCATCTCTACCAAAAAAATAAATAAAGGCCGGGCTCAGTAGCTCAGCCTGTAATCCCAGCACTTTGGGAGGCCGAGGCGAGTGGATTGCCTGAGCCCAAGGGTTCGAGACCCACCCAGGCAACTCGGTGAGACCTCATCTCTACAATAAATCAAAAAATTAGCCAGATGGTGGCACGGTGCCTGTAGTGCCAGCTACTTGGAAGGTTGTGGCGGAAGGACCACCTGAGTCTAGCAGGTCAAGGCTGCAGTGGCCGTGAGCGTGCCAGTGCACTCCAGCCTGAGTGACAGAGTGAGACTCTAACTCAAAAATAAAATAAAATAAAATGCACAAATCACGATCTCCCCTTCAAACGTTCCCAGCGCCTCCCCTCATCCTCGGGCAGCCCCCGCCCTCCCTGAGCTCGCAGACTCATCCCCATCTCGAGGGGCAGAGCCCGCCCCGCGAGTCTTTTCTCTCGCCCCTCCTTCTGCCAGGAACACCCTGCTGCCCGTTTCTTCCAGAGAGTCTTCTGTCTCCATGGATCAACGAGGCTCCGTAAGGGATCCTCGATGTTAGAAGCACAGCCTCCTCCCGCTCCCTGCGCCTGCAAGTCGCTTTAACTTCCCGATTGCTGCCCGCGTCCAGTCCCCGGCCAGACTGGGAGCCACGATCTCGCCTTGACCTATGTCCCCCCGACAGACGCCCAGGAAATCTGTACTAAGCGACCCAGCAGGGCTCGCCCCCACCAGGCACCTCGTGCCCCGGAGCTGCGTCCTCTCGGCTCCCCAAGTTCCGGGGCGCGGCCCCGCTCCCCAAGGGCGCGGAAGGCCAAGCGCCGGCAGGCAGCGCGAGGGGAAGCAGGAGGCTTCCGGGTCACGTGACAGGGGCCCGGGGCGGAGCCGGCGC